TATATATATATATATATTTACGTGAAAACAAAATAGCCAACAAAAAAAGGACAAAACAAATAACAAAACACAAGGATAAATACACACCCAACAAGACCCTTTGACAATAAGGCTGATTATGATACAAATATGTAGCCATTCCTCAAGTTGCTAAGACAATTAGTATATGATACAAACTAGGAATAATGAAGGCATTATACAGTATCTAAGCATAAGGCTGATACTCACTCACAAGGAAAAATGAACACGTTGTTTACAAAGAAATTTCAGATTTCGGCAACTCCACATCAAAATCAACTTAAGAGGTTGAAAAGGCAAGCTAGGCAACTCCACATCAAAATCAACTTAAGAGGTTGAAAAGGCAAGCTAGTCTAGAGATAACCCAAGCTACTGATTTTCTTACGAAAACTAGACATCTTGGAACCAAACAAGTGGACATTCCTATGGAAGTCAATCAAGTATTTGGAATGATGGTGAAGAATTCCTTAAGATAAGGTGAAATACAGATGACTTGTCAAGAACCTCATTTACTTAACAGCGAGTACGCCTGACATCTCCTCTGCAGTTAGAGTGGTTAGTTGTTTTATAGACAAACTAAAACAAGTTCATTTAAGGTACATGAAAAAATCTCATAAAAAACGACACTTGTTCAAGGAAAATGGACATCTGAAAGTTAAGGCCTATTTTGATGCTAATTATGTTGGATCGAATAATTACAGATAGTCGATCCATTTATGATTATCGATTCATCTCAGGGAGACCTTGTAACCCTGTGTAGCAAGAAACACTAGAATTGATAGATCAACTAAGGTTGAGTAGTTAAATATAGAGTAAATGCTCAAACTATGCTGGAGATATTATGGTTCGAAAAAATCTACTCGAAGAATTGGGGTTCACTAACAGTGAACCGGTATCAATCTATTGCGACAACCGAATGGCTATTCACAAGGAGAATAAATCAATTTTTCATGAGTGAGCTGTGAGCATATCAAGGTCAGCTCAATTCATTAAGGGAGTGTGTAATCAGTAGGAAAATTTCAACTTCTTTCATATCATTGTCCCATTGACTAAATTATTAGTAGGAAAACGGTTTTCTAAATTACGCGATAAACTATAAATATTTTATATAAATGCTCCAACTTGAGGAGAGATTTGGAGATTTTATATTTTTTGTATGTATCTTTCTCTTAGTAAAAGTAAATTAATTTTTATATCGTAAGGAGATATTTCGGTATGGTAAGAGAGATTTTTTTGTTCTTTTCCACAGATATTGTAACCTACTTCTACCAACGCTATTTATCGAAGTCGCTTGTACTTAGAAAATACACAGAAGTAATTTCACTTTTCTTATTTTACACCTATAACTACAACAATGATAAAACTTACGACAAATGTATATAAAGGTAAAAGAAACAAAAGAAAAAAAAAAAAACATCAAAATCTAATAATACCCACACGCCAACATTACTAAAACATGAAAGCTAAAAAACTCAGCATTTTCACAAGGGAATTTGAGCTCTCTCGTATTCAAAAACCTTGAGCATTTCATTTCAAAACTGTAAACAAAAGTCACAGCAAGAAAACTCGACATTTATTTTGAAGGGACTTGTTTGTCGAAAAGGACAATTGAAACGCACAAGAATTCAACAGTCTAACACAATTAAACATGTAGACAACATGCAGCTGCTATAAATTGGAGATATCTAAAGGTTCAAGTATCAACTTACCCAACAGCTCGCCCCATAATATGGTGTCTATGCAGCCAGAGCTGGCCGTTAGCATACAGAAGTCTGTCGTCCCCAAAATTATTATCCCCTGAGAGATAGACAAAGAATAATATGAAACCTATTTTTATTATGTACTGCAAAAATATATTTTGCCAAGGATGATGAACCTTCAGTTCACAGTGGATATTGAAAATGAAAAACATCCAACACAATACAAGTACACTATTCACATATCTTACTTTTTCCCTCATTCTCTCCTCATTTTATCAACACAATTTTGAAATTAAAAATCAGTCATTACTATTCAATTCTCTACAAAATTTATTATTCACGACTCACATTAATAATTACCAAACATTATTTTACTATTTCTCCATCACATCATAATAAATTATTACACTTCATATTACATCATTTCACATTTTTTTTTTCAAATAAACATTATCCAATCGCACCCTAATATTTCTATTTCACGTCATTTTTCCTTTGTATTTTTATCATATTTAATCATAATCTCAAAATTACCACTAAAAAAATCTTATCAACATCCTTTAGCAGGAAGAATATTTTCAATCTTTCAGTCCTATAGACTCCCACGCACCCATTTTCAAAATTATGCAATTCTACTGACTTCGACACACCAATTTTAAAATTCTACAACAGTCGCTGACTAGAACAAAGATCACAAATTTGAATATAGCAACTTTAAAATATACATCGGTAGTGCTGCTACACCTAATCTAGGACTCATCAAATGTAACACTAACATCTTCAACTACATAATTAATATTTCAACATACAGGAAATTTAACCATAAGAGTAGGGTTTACATGATCTAATTCCTTTATGCCAACTTATGATCCAAAATTTATTTAATTCAATAAGACTTCCACTTATAATTTTTATTATCCAGCGGTAAAAACTGTTATAGCATTGGAGTTCTGTTCAATTTTAGTCAAATATTGTCATTTTATCCCATACAGCTTATATATTCAATTGGATATGTTTTCATGGGTGAAACATTTTGTGGGTGAAATAAGAGTTAGCTGAAGAATTAAAGATTTTAATAACGTAAAGTGCTGTGATGTACAATATAACATTTAATTGTGTATGTGATATAATGAGTAACTATTATAGATATTTGAGTGGATGAAATGTAAAATTTATAGAAATAGGGTAAAAACTATCTGTCATCTAAACTTTGCGAGATTTTCAAGTTGCCACCTAAACCACATTGAAGTATGGGCTTTGCCACCTAACTTGGTTTTCCTTAAAAAAATATGTATAAGTCCAGCAAATAGCACGCATATCCAGCTACAGACTCCAATCTTCGGTGTTAATCTTCAATTTACGATCCATTATCCAGAAAATTTCAATCCCGACTTGGATTCTACCCACTTCTCTCGGTCCAATTATGCTGCCATAAAGGAAGGACACGGCCTTGACTTCTAAAGGCACGGGGAAGAGCAAACAAGTGGAATTCTCCAGTCAACGAGTCCGAGATGTTTTTTTAGGATTTTTTTAAACTAAAGAAATAAATTAAATTAACATATATGAAACATTTAGTTTTTTATTACCTTCTTTTATTTTCAAAGGCATGTCACTACCACATAGATGAGAACTACGAACTTATGAAGGGGCAACTTGAAAATTTCTCAAAGTTCAAATGACGATTTATTAAAAAAAATTAGTTTATATCCCCCTTCAAAATTTCTCAAAGTTCAAATGACGATTTATTAAAAAAATCAGTTTATATCATAAGTAGTAAATTTTGTCATATGGTAAGTTTTTCTACCCAAAATTAAATTATGAATCTGATAAGAGAAAATGAGAGTAAAGTGAAACGCACGAGAATGTATTTTCTGATTTGTGTATAGATAAATAGAGTCAAATATATATATCCAATTGCTGAGCCCTTACACTTCTGGTCCGAAAATTAAATATTTCCAATACATTGCTTCCTAGGAATGACTGAATAGAACAAATTATAGTAGGCCATGGTTATAGAACATATCATGTTAAATACAATCCTTACTAGTATCAGTTATTTTCTAGTATAGGGATTACTGATTTTTCATATTTATATTTCACATGGGTGGGATATATTTAAGATGAAGACTTAGAAGTATGAATTAACTCTTTCTGTAGCTGGTCCTGGCGTTCAGGATTACAGGCAAGTCAAAAGAGGCCCAAAGTTATCTTGATAACATGTCGAGATAACATGTTATCCGGATGTCATTTAATTACCCTATGTCAGCTTAGAGTGATAATACATAGAGCTGGACAGTAGTCAAATGTACCAATAGAGTAATATTCTTCAATTCTTCATGTTATACTATTGAGAGGTTTGAAGTACTCTAAAAGATTTAAATAACAGTTAATCGAAGAATATAAATCATATGTGATATTTAAGTTGGAGCAGGACAAACAGATATTCACAATTTCCTAACATTGAACAGCGGCCACTGGTTTTAGCCTCAACCTTTCAGTGTCAGTCCCAATAGTGAAAAAACTAACAGTGTGCCAAATGAGCTAACAGGAAAGCTAATAGGACTAATTTTTCGAAATAGCCATTCTAGTGGAACTATTTCGAAATCATTGGACTAAAACTGTGTCCCTAATCCTATTCGACTACAAGTGTAATTTTCTTTTCAAAAATGTACCTTTTGTCAGGACATCAACATCCCCGCTTTCTTGGCGCTCATGAACCTATAAGCATGGAAACATGTTTGTTACTTCCCATATACAAAAGGCAAAAGAAATAATAAGAGCACGAGGATGAAGCATGAATTTTTACAATGTATTTCATAGTATAACCGAGCCATTTATTGGCCAGTCTCTAGAACTGAAAAGATGAACTAACTCTAGAACACAGTCACAATGAGTCTCGCTTATAAAGTTGAACTTTTCACAAAATAAGCCTAGAGAAAGATGTAAAGATAGAAAACTGACATTGAGATAATATCAGAATGTGTATTAGTTTAACATATACGTATCATGTATATATATATTCAGTTTAACATATACGTATCATGTATATATTCAAGTACATCTTTAAAGGCTAGGGGAAATGCATCTATAAACTCAAGATAAGTAAATAGCCCTTACAGCTAATAATGTAATACCCACTCCCGCTTCTCTATTTCAAACAAATCAATGGTATGATTCGACCAGTAATACAATTTTTGTCTTTCCAACATCCTTAACACCTAAATTTTAATGGTTCTCACTTTCCAGTGAAATTGGCACTTCGGTTCCTCTCCCTTTCTTTCTTTCTTTCTTTCTTTCTTTTCCCCTTCTAATGAAGAGGTTGAGGGACACTCAGGCTGTCACGTGACTACTTTAACCAAAAAAAAAAAACAGGCATGCACACACATACACAAACAGATTTGCATGAAAAAGGACAATATATCAACTATCATACCTTTATAACACGGTGGACAATAGGAATTTCACGTCCCTATCAGAAAGCAAAAGAAAAAAAAAAAAATGAGCTTTGGAAAATAAATAATGTCGAATTTATAGATGCCAATAACCATTCACTAAGCATGGAGAATTCTAAACGATTGAGACAATGGTGAACATGATACAAAAAATAGAACTTTATAAACATAATGAGCATTTATGTACATCAACAGGTCACCTTATCATGACATGCAACCTTCTTTGAGACCTAATTGATCATACCTTACTTTCTCATTAATTTAGTTTAAACAGCAGACAACTATTAACTATATGTTATCACTTGCTCTCATCTCTACTTGTTGTCCTACTAGTTATACTTACATCCTGTGTAAAATGATAGTTAACCATGATAATCTGAAGCGTAAGAATGACTGACCAGTTCATTCCGTCAAAATAATAATAATAATAATAATAATAATAATAATAATAATAATAATAATAATAATAATAATAATAATAATAATAATAATAATAATAATAACAACAACAACAACAACAACAACAACAATAATAATAATAATAATAATAATAAATAAATAAATATTAGGCCTGATTGGTGGTTAAACAGTTCAAGATGAATAGCATATCTGGTAAAGTTTCATAATCAAACATGCATTTGGACAAAAATCCCTCAAGTAGAAACAAAGTGAAAATCTTACAAATGCAAACCGCGGTGGTGGATATATGCATTCATTTTTACAAAAGAACATTTAACAGACATGCAAATGAGTTATTATACAGGAGCACGTACATCAACGTTGAACACAACAATTTCTCCGGCGCGAATAGGGTCCTTATTCATGTGCAAGAACAAGATGTCACCCTGAGAGAATAATGAGAGATTAAGATCACAGGATATACTATTAACAAGCATGTAAACCAGAGAAGGAAACTCACGTCCGAAAATTATCTACTTATTTTCTTTCTTTTGAAAAGATGACCTCAAAAACTAGCCTCACTACTGACACACCCAAAAAAATTAAAACCACCAACAAATGTAGCCATATTATTATTCCAATAGTATCTCTTAGTTTCGTACTAGTTATTTGATTCTCTTGCATCATATCTAAAGGACGTATTAGTATTTTTATTGGTTCTTAATTATTATTGACAAAAATACCAAAATGACACTTATAAGAATCGTAGGTAGTACACTTAGATAAAATCAGGAAAAAATAATAAATAGGATCAAGGAGACTTATCTAGATCTCCCATATAAAAAATTCAATTTTTCCTTAATATAAATAGATTATATTTCCACACTCATCTTCAAGTTGGGTTGTACAGATTGTACATGCCCAGCTTGCAACTCAATTCTTTAAATCTAGATCTTGCTAGATCTTTAGTGAGTATGTCAGCCATTTGATGTTGACTTGATATGTATACTGGCTCCACCACAACTGCTCTTTCAATCTTTTCAAGGATGAAATGGCAATTTATCTCAACATGCTTCATTGTATCGTGGTGGACTGCATTTTTATGGTGATCGCAGCCTGATTATCACAAAATATGTTGACTGGCTGGTGGCTGGTGTTCCATCACATTGAGCTCATTTAAGAGTCTCTGAATCCAAGTTCCTTCATATATACCAAGGTCTAATGATCTAGGAGCAGTAGCCTGATGTTAACGTCCTGTCTGAAACATTTCCAGCATTGTCTGCATCAGTATATACTTCAATACCTCAGCCACGACCTTTCCTGAAAATGAGACCTTTCCCAGTAGTTGACTTAAGATATCTTAAAATTCTATCAACAGCTTCCATTTGATCTTCTCTTGGGTTATTGAAGAATTGGCTCGCTGTACTCACACCAAAACAAATATCAGGTCAGGTATGAGAGAGGTAGATTAGACGACCCAAGAGGCGCTGGTAATTCACTTTCTCAACTAGTAGGCCGTCACCCTTGATTCCTATCTCCTTGTTAAGAGTCCATAGGAGTATCAACCGGTTTGCAGGCAACATACCAGTTCCCTTAAGTAAATCCAATGTGTACTTCCTTTGTGTTAGTGCAATTCCATTCTTAGATTATGAAATTTTCATCCAAGGATGTGTCTCAAATTCCCAAGCTCTTTGATCTCAAATTCCTGAGCTAAGTATTATTTTTCAAACTTAGCAGTTCTTCAGCAAAATAACCGGTGATAATGATATCATCCACATGCACAATTAAGATAGCTATCCTTTAGTGAATGTTTTACAAAAAAAGTATTATCAGTCTGCACTGAATATAATATTTTATCATGGATTTTGCAAACCTGTCAAACCATGCCCGTGGAGATTGTTTGAGTCCATTGAGTGACTTTTGCAATTTGCATAGTCCAACACTTCCCATTCCAGGAGGCACTTTCGTGTAAACTTCGGTTAGGTAACCATTCAGGAAAACATTTTTCGCGTCTAATCAGTATAGAGGCCAATCATTATTCGCAGCAACAGCGAGTAAAATTCTGACAGTGTTAATTTTCGCCACAGGTGCAAAGGTTTCTTGATAATCAATAACATATGATCGAGTGAATCCCTTTGCAACGGGACGTGCTTTTAACGTTTCAATGCTCCCGTCGGCTTTGTGCTTGATGGTAAAAATCCAACTACACCCAACCAGTTTCTTCCCCACAGGTAGATCACAGAGTACCCAAGTATCATTCTTTTCTAGTGCCATGATTTCCACATGCACTGCTTTTTTTCCATTCAGGATGACTGAGCGCTTCTTGAATGGATTTAGGAACATGTACCCTATTGAGGGCTGTAACAAATGCCTTCTAAGTGGAAAACAATATTATCATAGTCACAAAATTTCCAATGGGATGCATGGTGCAAGATTAATTGTTGTTCTTCCTTCTAGAATAGACACAGAGCTGCCTCATTTCATGTTGCACAGACTTGGAAGTTTCGGATGGATGTTCAGTCAAACGAAACTCATCAGAGAATCTAGACTCAAACTCGATGGCTGAATCTGGAAATGGAACAGGGAAGGATTCCCAAAACAGAGATTCCCTCAAGTCCTCCCCATGAATATCAGGTTTTGTTTAGAAAGACTCGTGCTCAAAGAAAGTGATATCCATTGAAGAATAAACTCTTTTTTGTTACAGGTGAATAGCACTTATAGCCCTTCTGAGGATGAGTATCCTATAAATACACACTTGATAGACCTGGGTCTAATTTGTTTTCGCTTGGCTGACAGACATGGACAAAGGCTGAACAGCAAAGGATTTTTATTGGAATATCATATGCAACAAACCCGGTGTGGGGAAGTTTTTGTAATAGAACACGAAATAGGGACTGTGAAATTTAAGAACCCTAGATGGAATTCTACTAATAAGAGATGTTTCTGTAAGGACAGCTTCTCCACATAAGAATTTAGGCACATGAGATGAGAATGGGCTACAGTAGATGACGATTTTTCCTCTCTGCCACTTCTGTTGAGGAGTATCAACACAAGAAATTATGTATATAATGTCGTGGTTTGAGAGATAAGTTTGCAAAGATGATTTGAACTATTCACAAGCATTATCAAAGTTAAGGACCTGGCTCTGCGTTTGGAACTAATTTTTAATCATCGAGAAATTTTTTTGAAATATTTAACAAACTTCAGATTTCTCTTTCATGGGGAATACCCAAGGGAGTCGCGTATGATCATGTATAAAGGAAACAAACCAACGTGCACCTGTAAGACTTTTCACTATTGATGACCCTCATACATCACTATGAACCAAGGAGGATGTATGAGTTGGGTACTGGAGAAAAATTAATTTAGCAGACTGACAAGCTTCACAATAGAACGACTTTGGATTTTCACTGATAAATTTTGGCAAGTATATGCAAGACAATAGTGCCAAAACATAATTTTATCTTATCTATTATTAGTTATATGGTGTTTATTTTCTTGCCTAATTAACATCTTATTACAATTTTATAATAGAAATAACTTAGTATATAAGATAGGGTTGTTAACATAAGCAAGCATAGATATATTTGTAATAACTTAGGCTGTTGGGGAAATTATTCTTGACCAATAGATATTTAATTTTCGGCGGGAGAAGTTTCATACTTGTTCATCCCTGTTATAGTATACTATCAATAGAATTTCGGATGTCTCTTTTGCCTGATTCTTTACTCCTAAGACTAAGCCTTCACAATATATACAAGCCTTTGCTTGTTTAATACTATTATACTAAATCGATTTTCCAACCAATCCCTAAAATGGGCTAATTTGAAGTCCTGCAAACATGGATAAGAAAAAACGTAAGTTTAAATTGTATTTCGAGGGTACTTTCAAACCTTAACTTACCAGGGGAGCTAAGCAGCATGAATGAATATTACAGTTTTAGTATACTAAAGTGCAGTTTACTGACAAACTACATTTAAACACTACTCAATAGCAGACCAATGGATTTTAGCTAGTTATCTTAGCCCCATCACAGTTTCTTACAATCCCAATCCCATCTACACTCTTTCACCTCATATCACAGATAATGTGTATCAGAAGACTCACCCTTTTAAAACCAGGCTCCATACTTCCAGAAAGCACAACAACTACAGGCGATTCACTACCAGTGATACACATTAATCCTTTCCATATTATAAGTGCTGATGTAACGATCATACCTGGAAAAATGATTAACGATGAAACTATAACGTTATTTTATGTAACTGTCCTGTTTAAAAGACCAACAAAGACAAATATCGAAAGACCCTTCTCAAGAAGAAAAGGTAGAAAATAAAATATGCTACTCCCTCTGCCCATTAAGATAGCTTGCTTGCCCTCTCACAGAATTTAGTACAATAGCTATTATTATGTTCAGTGCTTAATGCCAAAAAATATTAGCTTTTACGACTTAATTTTGTTCAGAGCTACGCAATAAACACGGAGAAAGATGGAACTTAATAATTTGACTACTCCCTTTAAAGAAACAAGCATAGTAACGGGACATGTGACGCAAATAAACATGGGAGAAAGATGGAACTTAATAATTTGACTACTCCCTTTAAAGAAACAAGCATAGCAACGGGACATGTGACACAAATAAACATGGGAGAAAGATGGAACTTAATAATTTGACTACTCCCTTTAAAGAAACAAGCATAGCAACGGGACATGTGACGAAAACAAGAGCTAATTAGTTCTTTCTTTAAAAAAAAAAACAAAAGGGAAGGGCAAGAAGGAAGAGGAGGAGGAGTAACAGCCCAATTCAAGCCATTCTAATATATATCCTTCAATGTTTCACCATTATTACTTTCTTATTCCCTACCCGATAAACACATTAGAACAACAATTCCAGATCAGAGGTATCACAGAACTACGAAAATTCTTGCCCCAGCTATCAATAAATGCAGGGAAATAAACAGAAAAAACATAAAGTGAATCAAAAACGATAAGCTCGGGGGCAGAAGAAGTTCAAGAAACTCAACAACAGATAATGGAAAATACTCTCAACCAATAAAATAGGAAAAAAAAAAAA